TTTAAACAAATCCTAATCATCAATACTGCTCTTAAACAAGATAAAAAAAAAGAAAATAAAACAAATAACGTAGATTAAAAAAATATTTTTAACCATTTTTCCAAACTAATAATTTATCTTTATTACCATTTTTTTTAAATTTCTATTAATGTATATGTTCTTAATATAAAATAGGTACAATTAATACCGTAAATTAATGGACAACTTGTATAGGAGTGTTGACAGAAAAATAAAATATATTTAGTGAAAAAGCTGGTTCTTTATTGCACTCATCTGTCATTCAACTACAGCGTTTTGTGGCAAACATAAACATTCCAAACGTTTGCTATAAGTTTTGCTTCAGTGACACAAAAATTATGTATTACATATACAGGGTGTTTTTTTAAAAATCTCCTCTTTTAAATTAAACGGGCTACTTTTAATTGGGACACCCTGTATTATAAAAGTTACCTAGTGACAGTAATCTTAAACGTGACTGCTTGAAAGACTAGCCATTATGTGATAATAATTAAAATTAACTATATTTTATGGAACATTTCAAAATAAGTACTTAAATATAACAGCAAAATATTATCAAATGATAAGAATGAAATGATACTGAGAATTTAAAAATTTAGTAACATATTATTATGTTTCTGTGATAAAAGTTTCTAAATACTTAGAGGTCTATAAATTCCATAAGATAGTTTTTCAGCGGAATATTATGATTCTTCTTATACCGGGTGTTGTATCGTCGAGCGGGACATAGGAAATCCTTTGTAATTTTAAATGGGATCCCTCAATATTTTAGAGAAAAATTCTATTTGGATTTATTAAAGAGCACCAAAATCCACATTCAAAAGAATAACTTGAGATATTTTTGCTTAGCCTGTTTGCGAGTTATTCATTTGGTCAAAATCTAATAATTGGGTCCATTATACAGAAAAAAATTATCATCTACATTCAAGAAAATACTTATGTACACTAGGGCCACTTATTTTCAAACACCCTGTATAATTATTTAAGAATTTTATTAAATTAATTCAACAAAAAATACTAATAATTGTTTAGTAGGAGACGTAAATTACTGTCACACATTTATCTGTTTTTGATTTAATTTCGAAAGACTGCATAAAGAAATGTAAAGGGGTTATTTTTGGAAGCGAATTGATCAACATCTCCTAAATCTATTGGTAAATGCTTTAATTAGTAATTTGATTTAGCTCAAAATAATATGAAACTCTGTTAATAAAACGTTTTATCATCTTTCTATACTTTTACCATTATCAAAACCCACACGAAACCACAAGCTTCGATTAATTGTAAGTAAAAAAACATGTTTATTGGTGTTAATAAAAAAAAAGTGATCAAATCACAAAAACAATATTGGAATATTAACCTATGATACTTATTTATAAATACATTTCCTGAAATAACTGATGATTTACTATTACTAATGAAAATTAATCATGGGTATGTAGTGAATCATCTCTACTAGATCAGAATTTATTTAGAATTTTGTTTTACTTTAAATTAAAATTAATTATGTAGATTTAATATAATTTTAAGAAATCAGAACATCACAAATAAAAAAATAGAGTATTTTAAGTATATTAGGCCATAAAAATCATTTTTTGAAAAAAAAAAAAAAAATGTGACATGATACCTTTATCCACTGGTGTCTTCATTGAATCTTGAATTGTCTGTCAATAAAATATATTTAATGATTTATAAATATATGAGACAATCATGGTTATAAAGGATGAAGGACAAGTGCTCCCCCCTAGATCCGGACTGCAGTGTTTAAAAAATAAATACACAACAAAATTAGTTATGAAAAATATCTGGAATTTTATTTAAGGAATCAATTTTTTTTATCCCTTCCTGGTAAATTATGTATCTACGCTCATGGAGGCAATTAATGATGACACAATATTTTTTAATGTTGGGCATGATGAGTAATTACCAAGAAATAAAGTTTACCAATGATTATGAATTGACCACATTTTTTTGTTTTATTTAGTACAAAGAACTATTTGTTAATTTACTTTAGTTTGGGTATAAAATCTATAAATTCTAGCTAATTTGGTGTAATATTATAATCCAAAAAAATGATAACTGAATGAATGGTATACAAAACAATCCAATAATTTTCTGTTGAACTCTAGACTGAAAAGATCAATTTTGCTTATCATTCAATCGAAAGTGAACTTTGATATTTAATGTACTTTAAATCAATTAATAATTCAATGTTATAAATAGATAATACAGTTTGAATTGACTGTTTCTTTACAATGTTTTTTAAATTTTTCCATTTATAACTTTTTTTATGGTTACTTTTGCGTGTATTATGATTGAGAATCAATTTTTTATCGTTATTATTATGATGTACTTTTGTATACATACGCATCAAGTTTCACTCTTAATATTAGTTATTTCTACATATAAAAGATTATATAGTGTGTAATCAATAGAATGATATCAAGAGGTTATCATGTTTGATGTCTGCAGTAATTATTTCTTGAAAACAGGTCAATACACAAAAAACTGATAATACAACGAATTTAATACAAAATGGACATTCTTAGTGACTTTTATGACAACTCCTGTATCAGACATTATTTTAGGATTATTACTGAAGTTATTAAAATTAGTTTTAGCCAACTGATGACATCAATTTAGTCACATAGGTATATACTTCATTTTGGTTGAAGCATCCGTCAAAATGTTATGTAGACAAAACAATATTATGAACATTTTATAAATATTAAAAGCTACTAATGAAAGATTGAGCATATTTTTTTGAGACACACTGTATTATTTTGGAGCGTCAATTTTTTATCGTAATGTGTGTTCAAAACGTCAAACTAGTATCTGAAATAGAAAATAATACTTTACCGGGAGACTCAAAAATTTTAGTTACGTTAAAAAAGCAATGAAAAACAGAATGTTAATGGTTAAAAAAATTAAATAAAATTAGGTAAATTTTTAAAAATAAAACAAAAATAAAATAATTAAAAAAAAATAAAAAAATAAATAAAAATAATTACAGAGTTAAAAAAAAATAAATAAAAATGGGTAATTTATTAAAAATAGAAATTAAACAAAAATAAATAAAAAGATAAATGTAAAAGAACGTAAATAAAAATAAAAAATATTTTTTCAAATTATATTTTCATTTTTTCTATTTGTTTTTATTTATTTTTTTATTATTTTATTTTCATTTTTTTAATTACAATTATTTTTATTTATATTTATTTTATTATTTTTATTCATTTTCTTTTACACTTATTTTCTCATTTATTTTTATTTAATAATTTACCTATTTTTATTTAATTTGTTTAACTAATTGTTATTATTTTTATTTATTTTTTTAGTTTTAATTATTTTATTTATATTTGTTTGTTTTATTTATTTACTTTTTTAATTACAATTTTTATTTTTACTTATTTATTATTTATTTTTGTTTATTTTTATTTAATTTATTTTTATTTATTCTTATTTATTTTTATTTTTTTTTCTTTTTTTATTTTCATTTTTTTATTTATTTTTTTAATTACTATTATTATTTATATTTATTTACTTATACCTAAGTATTTTATTGTTTTTATTCATTTTCTTTTACACTTATCTTCTCATTTATTTTTATTTAATAATTTACCTATTTTTATTTAATTTGTTTAACTAATTATTATTTTTATTTATTTAAATTTTGATTGTTTTTTTAACTATTTCATTTTATTTTTTTTTATTTATTGTTTTTATTTATTTTTATTTATTTAAATTTTGATTGTTTTTTTAACTATTTTTTTATTTTTATTTTATTAGTTTTTAAGTTTTAATTATTTTTATTCATATTTATTTGTTTTTATTTATTTAATTTTTTAATTACAATTATTTTTATTTATTTTTTTAATTACTATTATTTATATTTATTTTTTTAATTACTATTATTATTTATATTTATTTATACCTATTTTATTATTTTTATTCATTTTCTTTTACACTTATCATCTCATTTATTTTTATTTAATAATTTACCTATTTTTATTTAATTTGTTTAACTAATTGTTATTATTTTTATTTATTTAAATTTTGATTGTTTTTTTTAACTATTTTTTTATTTTAATTTTTTTAGTTTTTTAATTTCAATTATTTTTATTCATATTTATTTGTTTTTTTTTTATTTATTTAATTTTTTAATTACAATTATTTTTATTTATTCTTATTTATTTTTATGTATTTTATTTTATTTATGTTTATTTACTTTTATTTAATTTTATTTAATTTTATTTAATTTTATTTAATTTTATTTAATTTTATTTAATTTTATTTAATTTTATTTAATTTTATTTAATTTTATTTAATTTTATTTAATTTTATTTAATTTTATTTAATTTTATTTAATTTTATTTAATTTTATTTAATTTTATTTAATTTTATTTAATTTTATTTAATTTTATTTAATTTTATTTAATTTTATTTAATTTTATTTAATTTTATTTAATTTTATTTAATTTTATTTAATTTTATTTAATTTTATTTAATTTTATTTAATTTTATTTAATTTTATTTAATTTTATTTAATTTTATTTAATTTTATTTAATTTTATTTAATTTTATTTAATTTTATTTAATTTTATTTAATTTTATTTAATTTTATTTAATTTTATTTAATTTTATTTAATTTTATTTAATTTTATTTAATTTTATTTAATTTTATTTAATCTTATTTAATTTTATTTATTTTTATAGCACCTATAATAAACTTAAATAACCTTAAAAAATCACTTTATTTTCTTGTTTTTTTGGCATTTGCGGGTGTCTGAAAAACAAAATTTTTTTACCAATTGTTTTCAAATACTCTAAAGTGACAAAAATTCCTGCATTTCCTTCAAAATTTTGATTTAAAGATCTATTTAATTGGACTATTATGGAAAAATCTATCTGTATTTGGTGGGAAATTGTAAAACACCCTATATCTCAATAACACTACTAGTTGTCAAACTGACAGTGCTTACCCTTTTACACGGCAAAACTGAAAAAGACGAATCAAAATCATCATCAATGTCCGAATCGGATTCATCATCGTCGTCGTCAGTGTCCAATTCCGCAATGTCTGAATCAGAAAATTTGAGCTCCTCATCAGTCCCACTATCAAAAACTATAAAACTATCCTCCGATTCACAAACGGACAGCTCCCGTTCCCTCGGGAAGCTCCTGTTGTTACTCGGAGGCGATATGGATATAAATGTGAATACTTCATCATTCATTTTGGTGGGTATATCGACTATGAAGTCGGTCAAATGAAGGGTTTTGGGGGAAATTGATATATTCCCTTCACAACCGTTCATTGAAACGTCCGGTTCCAAATCAATTTCCATCATATCGTTGATTTGTCTCCTAGAATTGTTCTGTTTTGAATTCTTATTCGATGCTTTCTTTTTGCGGCTTTTGCGGAGCTTTTTGCACCTTTTGCGCCCCGAACAAACCGGGCTGCCTCCGACTGGAGATTTCCTAACAGGGCTTTCTTCACAATAAATTTCTTTTGCGGATTTATCCACGAGATTATTAGGACTAGAATTTGTGACAGTTCCAGATGTGTCAGAATCGGAATTTTGACAAACTTTATGAACAGGTATGGATATTGGGGTAGCACTGTAACAGCAATGCACGCTGGGGTGTTTATTTACGAAATTTGGATTCCTGAATGATTTCCCGGGCGCTATGGCTACGTTGGTGAGATTGATGGAGGCGAAATCTCGCTTGTGGGTTTTCAGGGGCACCATAACTGGTCCCATTTGACCAATCGATCTCGGTATGTTCCACATTTTGGGTTTTGTTTGTAAATTCACTTCAAACTATGCAAAACCACGTGACAGTCCTTTTATTGTTGTGTCTAAAATGCATAGAAATATGTTTTTTCGCCCTACAATGTCCTTGGCTTTGATATCTCAATTTCGTACACAAAATATCACCACTACACAAACACTTTTTGATAATATTTCTTCGAATTTGAACAATAGACTTATTTTCGATACTCTCGCTAGCCATTTTTAGATCGCTTACACTGAACTTATCAATACACATTTTACTACGCTGCCATTTTGATTTAAATTGAAGTAAAAATAATCTTTCAACAGACCCTGCGTCATAAATTGATGCGACGTTGTCAGATTTACTATAACAAAATCCGATAATTTATCTTTTAATTTTAAAAGTGTGGAATATACCGGGTGTCCCGGAATTAGACGGTCATATTTTAACAGCGTAATCTACATCCTGAAATAGGAGTAAAAGTTAATTATCTACCTCGGGAAGTATGAGTCTCATCAGGCGTTCCGCAAGGCTCATACATTGGTCCTGTCCTTTTCTCACTTTTCATTACCCATACAGCACACATTATTTCAGAAGTGTTTCAGAAATATTTCAAACGTTTCAAACATATAACATTTCAAGCACTAAGTTTCTGAAATATTTCACTGAAAATGTTTCTGAAACATGGTATACGTGTTACACAAAAGGTTACTAAACGGGTTATGGTGTAGAAGGCCAATAATTAATGAAGAATTTCCGATTTGTAAGAAGAAGATGGCATATGTAGAAACAAGCCTACCCAGACAGCACACCAAATCCTTTGGATATCATATCCACTGAATGTCCAGTCCATGGTGGATATCTATTTTATATCCATGAAATGTAATTTATAGACATGCAAATGTCCATAAATAATAGTAATTATATAGCAAATTATTAAATAATTACGCCATTGTGGCTAATAGTACCGTTCAGATATGTAAAATTATTTTTTTAAGGTGTATTCAATATCCCATGGACATCCACTAAATATATCAAAGTCTAGGCGCGAACGCAAACCATCGTTGATATCCCAAATCCCAAATTTGGGATCCTTATTATCAAATACACATTTGTCGGATAGAGTCCACACAAAGGCGTTTCCTCAAATACTTAAGTTTTCGGGCAGACCAAATTTATCCACCGATTGGTATTACTCAAAATGCTTTACTGACTAGACACAGATTGACAAGTCTCGACGTAAGACGAAAGTACTTCTCCATAATTACCCTCTACAAAGTTGTTAATTTTAAAATCAATTGTGAAGCTCTTTTACATATGCTTAATTTTAGAATCCCACGCGCAACCTCTCGAAACACTGAATCATTTTACATAGCGACTCCTCGGACAAACGTTCTGAAGTTTTCACCTGTATATAACATGTGTAATAATTATAATAATATTAGTGAACAGTTGGATATATTTAATTGCAGTGTTAAAAACATAAAAACACATTGTTTAAAATAATTTTGAATTTATTTACTGTAATTTTAGATTAATTATCTATATGCCTTTTGTTAAACTGTTTTCTTTCAAATGTACTCCTGTTCTGTAATTGGGTTTAACCTGTTGAACAATGTATAAATAAATAAATAAATAAATAGATATCCACTAGATATAATCTTTGATTTTGCTTACTAAGTATAGATGGCGATACTACTTTCGCATATACTCATGCTCAACTTGCCGTAATTGAGTTCGATCGAAATTTGTTTCACAATCAGACTCCATTAGAGACTGGAGTCGAGAATTTCCATTTATTGCTGAAGTGTCCTAATAAGGATAACTTTCTCCTTAGTGGGCAAAATCAAAGGCAGTGAATTTTTTATCTCTGCTATTTTCTTTCGACTTTATTCAATAATCATTGGTTACTTATGAACTTCTACTAAAGATACCTATAAAATATTTTGCTGAATATCCGAATTCTTCTATATCCTGGGATATAGACGGACATTTGGTTGGATATCCATATTGGATATCCACAGAATATATTCTGTGGATATCTCTGGGATATCTCTGGGATTTCTTGTATTGTGTGGAAGATACTCCTTAGATATTTTGCTGGATATTCATATTATATCTTCTATATTCTGGATATAGACGGACATTTGGATATCCATATTAGATCCACGGAATATTTCTGATATCCTGTGGATATATTGGATATCCACAAAAGATATACTGTGGATATCTCTGGGATTTGGTGTGTTGTCTGGGTATATTCTAAATAATTGTAGATGTGAGTTGTTGGTTTTTGATATTCATGCTATATGCAATAGCTAGAATACATTTCTGAAATATTACTATTTAATACTTCTAAAAGATTTCTAATTTTCATTTCAGAAATATTACTGTGAAATATTATATTTAGAGGACAATTTTACGGTTCAGGCATATTTCAGGGATGTTTCAGGGATGTTTCGTAATATTTATACAACATTGCAAATGTTTCAATGCAACATTGTTGAAATATTTCCGAAATGTGTTTGTGCTGTATGGGTTTATGTATATTTTAATGCGTAAATACCATTTAGAATAATAATTCTGTAGTGTACCTATTTGATTAAATAAATTAACCACTCTGCTATCAGTACTTACTGTGTTCACAACGTTTTAATTCATTTAACCACTAAAAACTACCTCTAATTATTACTAAAACTGTATATCAGATTGCAAGTTATCTGTTTTCATCAGATATACGAAACATTTTTATGATAGGCAACGTTGCACTAAATTTTCCAGGGAGAACGGGAATTTACCTTTTCATTACGTCATTCCTGACGTCACGAATCAAGAATGATCTGGTATATTCACCAACATATTAAACTGAAAAACCCTAAAGGTTTAATTAACATTTGTTTCCTTTGCAATGTATTTTATGGTATAATTTATTATTCGTTTTAATAATTGTATGTTATTCGAATTGATATTAAAATTTCAAAATTGAATTGTTAAGTATAGGCAACTCTATTTACACTACATACAGAGATTGCATATCTTCGCAATATTAAGATTCGTATTTCTAAGGCCAAGGACTCGAGGAGTTTTTAACAACAGGAATGTAATAGCGGCGTTCATAACAATAACAAAATATTCTGAATATTTAAACATAATATTTTTGAAGAATCATAACAAATATTTAAAAATAGTATGGATAATGCAAGATTCCTTTCGACTTGTGTATTATTGTCGTTTGTTGTGCCATCTGCAGTCGTGTACTGCTACAAATATGTCAAATGTCAAAGTTGTTTTGATTTTAGGTTAAAGTAATCGGAAAAATAAATATTTATATTTACAAATAAGAATAATAACCGAATTTAAACAATATGAAACATATTGTTATAATTACTTTCTAGTCTATAATTTTTATTGATTTCGTTAATTATAATTTTATCATTTGTTGGTGGGTGGGGAGGCGGAATTATTGATTTATTTTTGACCTGTTGAGTGAATGTTTAGATTGCGCGGTTTAATGAGTTCAAGATCCCTTCTTGCTGAACACGAAGAACAATCTGTTGGATTATTATCGTAAGTCTTTTAAAAATATTACCATAGTAAAGCTAAAAACTGTTTATATATATTGTTAGCAAGTGTTTGGTATTTTAACATGATGTACCTACAATAACAAACTATGCAGATTTTATGTTATGTTAATATTCAAAATTGCCACATATTCATACAGTAAAATGTTAATAATAAAAACCTTTTTTTTTGGTAAAGTTTTAATACAAATTGTAGTGATAATGTTTATTAAAAATAGAAAGTATGTTTTGGTTCCCATAACACCCATTATTTGGTATTTTTTATCACATTTACCTTTTAAACACATTGGCACAGCGGTTTCTATACATTTGCTAAATGATTATGTATAATTAAATAATAATAAGGGAATTTTACAATAATAATTATTAATAACTTCTAATATATGGACCCAAGACACTTCCTTGTGGGACTCCTGAGTCATTAATATTTGAGCAAGTCTCCTCTGTGTACAAATAAGTCTAACAACCACTGTAAATTCTAAGCAATTCCATCTAATTGCCTTTGTTTGTACTTTATTAAAAAAGACTTTAATTACACTGCCAATGTCATTGATCAAAATATATAATATGGGTACAGATTAGATCCTTGGGGAACTCCAGATATGGCAGTATACTTAAATTAAGTAGTGCCAAGTGTAGGTACATTGTGTTATACATAATGTTATATGTAGGTTAGTTACAGCAAATTTTATCATTATAATGTACCTATTAGAGGTTAACGAAGCAAAAGTAAGGATAAATAATGCAAATTACTGATAATTTAAATTGTGTACGTTGTTGTTTTTCTATATGATAAAATATTGTATTATTTATAAGATATCGACTAAGTTATAGAATATTTAAGTTGTTTGTAAATCTAAACGAATAGAATTTAGAGGTGATTTTAAAAAGGTATGAATTTTATTTGTTTGTAATAAGTGTTATTTTTATGATTACTGTAAAATATTCAGAACTTGATAATTCAACATATATAGTCATTAGTTTGGCCCAATTTCAATAAAAGAGGTGCCTCAAGATTCTCTATTGGGGCCAATAATACTTGTTATAGAAGATTATTGATGTTCAAATTATTTTTTTTTTTATTATTATTCATCATACAGCTTTGACAAATAGAATGCCAAAAATAAAGTGTTGTAGAGATCAAAGTCTGCTCAATATATCATACCTCAGTTTGATTGCAAAAAATGTCTCATAAAATCATAATGAACTAAGTAGATGTTTTTGCATTGAGACGTCAGATTATTGTATGTTTTAAAGTAAAAAATAATTATTAAAACACCTTATATATTGGACTAGAAGAGCAAAAAGATTTAAATGAGAAAAAACAAACTTGGTTGACTTTCATAAACATAATTAAAACACAGTTTTTACACAATAACAATTCAAATCAAGATAGTAATCTGATTAAACCTAACAGGACAAATCAAAACAGGATATCATTTTCACTTGGGCTGATAAAAAAATACATTAATTGCTATTAATAATATAGATTATATTGACAAAACTCTTTCTTTTCTACAAGCTAGCAATTATTACAGCATACTTAAATTTGACCCAACAGAAAAACATGAAAAAGAAAACTTAAAATGTAATATTCAGGATTCAACAGCAATATTTGATTCTAAGGAAAAATTCAAACTAATATAAATGAACCCTTAATGACCACAATTACACCAATATAACTATCCTATTAGACCAGTTGTATCATCTATCAGTAAATTTCACATAAATTAATTAAACTTATACAAGAAAATTACAAATTCCATTCAAAGTACATCATAAAAAATTCTTATGTATTAATAGAAACATTTAAAAATATTGTAACACAAAATTAGTATCAATTGATGTAACAAACTTATTTCCTAGTACACCTCCTAAAGAAATAGTTAACATAGTAGAAATAACTTATTATATCCTTATAATCAAAGAAGAAATCCAAAATGTGTTTAAACATTTGCTTCACAGCAAAGTACATATTGCCTTTATTGACATAGATATGTTGATGGCGTCACTGAATAGGTAATCATAATCTGTGCCCATAGTTTTGGGATATTTCATAAGCTACCGCCACAGAATATAAACAAAAGTAGGCAGCATACAACAGTATGATCCATAGATTACAACCAAAGAGCCAACCATCGTGAAAGAATATCCATCTGTACCAGCAACATCCAAGGTAAATGTCACAGAAAGTGGGGTCTTGACACCTTCAAATCTTTAGACAATAACGTTTGAAGAATTACTTTTGGAAGAAGTAAAGCAGTCTCTGGAAGAAAAAGAATCTGCGGAAGTGATGAAGTAATCACTTCAGAAGACGCCAATGCTAAATTTAAGGAAATTGAAAATACCAAAAATTAAAAAAAAAAAAAGTTGAAGCTAATAGTAATGAAGACGGCGAGTTAGAAAAATGTTAAAGTAAAGAGAAAGGCACTGAAGAAGAAACCCTTTATTGAAGAGGACAGTTTTGAAGACATGCAAAGTCGTTTCAGCGTTTCTACTGTAGATGAAGCAAAATATGTCAGACAATGCAGCTAGATTTCTCTAAAATAAACGTGGGATTGTGTTAAATTTAATCAGAAGAATCAGACTAAAATATATGTGGGTCAGCTGACAGACAAAGAATCATGTCTACAGGAAAAATTTTCTAGAATTAGTAAGATATCCATATCCCATGGTTGAAGATAGAAGCATAATTAATGAAGAAGAGATTTTTATGAACTTACCCTTGTCTACAATAAATAAAAGAGGAAAAATAGGTTTTAATATTGTAATTGACTCGTACAATGTGGGATACAAAAATGTGCCTTAGATTACATTTACCCAATACCACTGGGACAAGTGAAACCCAGGGACCATGTAAATAAAAAAAAATATGGATCAAAATTATAAGTATTGATCTGTTTGTATATTGGCATATCCTTAAAGAAATGTTTCTTCGGTCTGTTTGCCAAATTTGAATAATGTTAAGAATTAGGAGCTAATAAAATTAGGGGTTCCACTTACCCTGGTGTACCTTGATCCTATTCTGCAGAATAGATAATAGTATTATATTCATATAGATTAGTTTTTTTTTATTTCAGAGTCATGGAAGCCAGAGCTGAACACCAGAAAGTGAGACACTACCAAACGTTTTATACCTTTACAACGTCCATTGGTATAGGTCTCAACATATTGGTCCTCTTTTGGATATTACATTTCAGAGGCGGCTTTGCTTGGCAATCAAAGCCAGCCTTAGAATTCAATTGGCATCCTTTTCTAATGACATTGGGAATGGTATTTTTATATTCTCAAGGTATTTTTTCTATACCTATATACAGATACGGAAAATTAAACGCGGACAGGGTATAATAGGGACATATGTGTGTGTATCTAACAAAGACAGCTGATCAGCGAGGATCGCTTTACAACATACTTTACTCTTTCAGAAACATTCACAAAAATAATTAAGTGATAAATCTGGTGATCTTGGAGGTCACTTGAACCATGGGTAGAGATTGGTCTCTAAACATAGCTTTGAGAAATTCTGTCACTGTTTGTGAATAGTGACTTGGATAACTGTCTTATTGAAACCAAACATTTCCAATATTAACAGGCAGTTGCCCAATTGTCGTAACCAAGGTTACCAGGTTTTTGAAAGAGATGACGGACGTACAGGGGATTTTAGGAGAAATACCCAGACAACACAACAAATCCCAGAAATATCCACAGAATATCTTTTGTGGATATCCAATATATCCACAGGATATCAGAAATATCCCGTGGATCTAATACGGATATCCAAATGTCCGACAATTTCATAAAAGGACACTTTATTGTGCACAAACTTTGCACGTAAACTTTGTACATATTTACATTTTTGTTTTTTATTACTAACTACTGCTTACATAAGTACTAGGACTTTACAACATGGTTGCTGAAAGAATTTTTATTATGTGCATGTGAGAGCCGATCCGTTATGTTAGGAAGCTCGAATCGCTCTGCCGGCTTTTTATTTTTTTATGACAGAGATGCACATATGATTACGTCACTTCGACCAGTTCTTCGCGCGCGAGATACATGGGTTTGGTCACGTACGCCTAGTTATAAATGAACACATGGCTTTTGTGAGCACAGGACCGTCTTTTGTATGTTTCAAAATCTTTTATTTTGGAACAAGAGTAAATATAGACTGAGTTATTTTTACTTCCCCCTATTTCCCCTAAAATCCTCTGTCTGTCCGTCATCTCTTTCAAAAACCTGGTAAACCTGGTCGTAACTGGTTTTACAGGTGATTCTTCATTTTCTACACTTCTATACACATCCACATTTCTTAAAATTTTGAATATTCCGTTCAATTAAGTGGAAGTGTTTTCAAATGCAGTAATAAACAAATTTATTATGTCATTGTTTGTTTCGCGTATATTCCTATTATACTTCATCTAATTCATCGTTTAAATTCCCGTATCTGATATAAATTGTGGGATTTCTGAAGGCGACATTAACCGTTTTTTCAGCCATGTTAACTTACAGAACTGGAAGGAAATTTGAAAAGAAATCTCTGAAACTCGTACATGCATCTTTGAATTGTTTGGCTTTTATTATGTCTGTGATTGGTTTGAAAGCTGTATTCGATTCTCATAATTTGACGAATAACCCGAATTTGTACACTCTTCATTCCTGGATTGGATTGTCTACGGTTATTGTGTTTTCTGCACAAGTAAGTATATAAAAAATATTATTAAATATTTAAATAAATTGTTGCCAGTTTGTTTATAATTTATTGAGGTAGCATTTTGAACACAAAATAAGAAAATCACATTAAAAATAAAATCACAAAATACAAAATCACCAAAACCCACAAAAATACCAAAAATCACCAAACACAAAACAAAAAACTTACATGTTTCATTTAGTAAACGAAATAAATATTATCTCACAAAATTAATACCTATTGAAAGTACTTTTAATATGATCAGGGTACCTCAGGGAACCGTATTATAGTCTATTTTTATGTATGAGAGAGTATTAAAATAATAAAGCGTTCGTAATCCATAGGCGTACCACTTCTTTTAGTAGACAGTTAAAATATTTTTTGAAGTTATTCCTCGAGTATACACTTATATTTTCACCTAATTAACCTGCTTATTACTTCTAAACAGCTGAAGGTAAAAAAGTGCAATTTTTTCTAAAATGTTTTATTTTTCCACAAGGTATGTTAAGAACATTGTGTCAAACGAGTTATGTAGGTATAAGGGTTTAAACTTTGACTTTTAAACAACGTTACGTTCATAAATAATAATTTTAATATAAAAACTAATTCTTACCTACAAAACCAAATCAGAATCGAAATCAGAAGATGAACTGTAGCAACCAATATTTACAATGAGTGGCTCATTTCATCAGTAATATTGTCCAACTTCCACATTTTCTTTTCTTCTTTAATCGTATGATTTACTGCCTTTTCCCAGTTTTCAGGCTTCATATTATTTACAGCTTCCAAAAACAACTGTTTAACATCACTCATTTTAAAATAATTATTTGTTCTTGAAACTTCTTCCTTTATCTGTGCCCATATCAGTTCAATCGGGTTTACTTCGCAATGATATGGTGGTGATCTAACCACCGTCATCACACGATTTTTTGCAATTTCATCAATTTCATATTTTTTGAATTTCTCTTTATGATACATGATACAGTTCTTTTCTCACAGAACCGGAATGGAACTTAATATTCTTTGAATTTAGCCAATTCTGTAAATCTTTTTTTAACCACTTGGTTGTGGGCATTTTTTCTATAAGAGTGATAACTTGCATTATCCATTACTATTATACAGTTCTGAGGAAGAAGATCTATAATTTGTTCGAACCACTCTTTAAAGACATCAGAATTCACGTTCTCATGGTAGTCACCGGTACGAGTAGATTCAAAAGTCAATAAACCACCTTTAACAAAACCGTTTGAACTACCGATGTGTACTATTATTAGTCTGCGCCCCTTTCCTGATGGTGGATTTAAACCAGTAGATAAATTATTTAAAAAAGCCTGTCTTCGACTTGTAACAGTTTCATCTTGCCAAAATTTATTTGGTTTATGTCCCTCGTTGATCCATGTTTCATCTAAATAAAATATATTTCTTCTTTGGTTTCTCATTTCTTTTATTGTTCTTAGGTAATTTCTTCTCCATACTACAATATCGCTTCTTTCTATTAAAATAGACTTTCTGGAATGCTTTTTCCATAGAAAACCTATTTCTTTTAAAAGTTTCCATAGTGTGCTTCAACTCATTTCAGGGTAATCCTTATCATCTCGAACCGTGGCAAGAACTTTGTCTACTGTCGGAAATTCTTTTCTAAAGAAGAACGCATGCACTTTCCTTCGAAGTCTTTCTTTCAAAAGATTTTCTAATTGAAATTTTGGTTTTCCTGGAGCTTTACGTGCTGTTTGAAACTCGCCACATTTCACTTCTTTAACAACTCTGTAAATCGTAGATTTCCTAACACCAAGCGTACTACTAACTAATTCCACTGTGTTATCAACAGTTTTACATAAATGTTTGTTTGTAAATGATTTAAAACAATTAAATATTAATGTGTTTTCATTAACTGTTAAAGGACCGATTTTTTGTTGTTTACGCGGCCCTTCCAAATTTTTCATGATCACACTAGAATTCACACTGCACCTTGCAAATTGCAACTAAACGACATTTAGTAAACTGTCAAAAATACACAACTTGGACCTCCTTACTAAATGGAAAACCTATAATCGAATTTTCGGTGAAATTTGTTGGGAAGGTATTTATCTACTTATAATTCGATTACTGTAAGAAATTCTTGGAATTAAAATAGTTTGTAGCCTACACAACCAAGTAATCAGAGATGTGTATCGGTTTCATATATCTCTAACCCACAGTAAATTTATTTACCTAATCTTTTACCTCTTTTATTAAATCACTTACTATCACATTAAACAGTGTCATATTTAAACATCTTCGAGGGTAAATATTTTAGATTGTTACACCATCTTTTTGGTACCATAAGTATCTGTATAAAGTTTTGTTTAACATTGAAATATTATTTTATCGGAAAGAACATTTAATAAAAAATTACTTTTCTTCTAAACTGGATAAAAATAAACTTTCCCCCTATAGATAGAAATCCCAAAAAAATCTATATTAGATTGTATGAGCATACTTACCCTTTTTGTTGCATCATTACTTCCTTGAGTTCCATTTAAATTGAAGGCTCTCAGCCTAGAAAAGCGCTGGTTTAAATTTCCTAGAAAAGCTATAATTTACAAATCAAATTGGGTAAAAATTACCCTTACATTACCTATATTGTATTCTTCTGAAAGTCTTTGCATAAATCCACAACTAACAGGATTTAATGTAAGACCAGAATAAGTCAATGACTGGCGTAGATCTATTTTGTTTGTAGTATCAGGAACTAAAAGAATGTCAATTTAGATAAAAATAAAGTAATTCCACATATCAGATAGTTTAATTTAGATTCCTTTTGTATTGTTCATGCTGTGATAGGTTCTTTAATTATTAGCGAATTTTTTGTAATTGTTTTCTCATATAGAACGTCCCATAAACATAGTACAACCCAAAGAAATGGTAAAAGTACACATACGTAGTATTTTAATTAGCTTTGAATTATTTTTAAATAATTGGCAAATTTTAATTTTTTCTTTTTTGTATCGGGATCTGAAGACGATTGTTTAATTTTGAGGTTGATTATTCTAAAAGCTTGAAGAATAAGAATATACTACACATTATTTTGGGAGAGAGTAGATGACAACCAACTTGCAATTCTACGAAGTTTAGAGCACCGACGGATCCAAGGGCGAGGGGGGGCAACGGGGCGATTGAGACTAGCAGTTTTACACTTTACCCTTGAAATCAAAGAAAAAATCGACCTCCGTTTCGAATTTTCAGCAAATTGTCCCTTCTTGGGTAGGTTCTGGATCCGCCCCTAGTTTAGAGATTCTATAACTACTGATTGTTTTCACTTTTATCCCTTTATGTACAGAAAGTCAATATATTTTTTTCGTTTATGAAATAGCAAACGCGAAAGGATGTGTTAAAGAATTACAAAATTTCATAAGAAATATTGATGGAATCCCATCTGCTCTCTTCTTATGCCAACAATAAATAATGTTGAAGAATGTAGTTAATAGAAAAGTTAGAAGCAAAATCATTGTGAATGGCCAAATAATAGCGCCATTAAATGTTATGTCACTTAGGTATTTATACAGTTTTAAACCAGCTTTAAATTAATTTGGTTGGAGCTTTATTTATATTAATAAACCCCTATGAATTTCTTAAAAGATAAAAGGAGAACCACCAGAAAACAGAATGTCTTTAAATTATATGAAATACAATCCCTTTTCTGTGGTCTATTTTTTGTATCTATGTCTGCTGTCCATGCCTTCCTTGGTATCCATATCTTCCTTTGTTCCTTTGTATCCATGTATTCCTTGTTATCCATGTATTAATGTCCATGCCGTCCTTCCTTGATGTTGACGTCAATATCTTCCTTGATTCTTCCTTGATGTGTCCATGTCTTTCTTGATGTGTACATGTATTTCTTGATGTGTCCGTATCTTCCTTGATGTGTCCATGTCTTCCTTGATGTGTCCATATCTTCCTTGATGTCTATGTCTTCCTTGATATCAATATCTTCCTTACTATCAACGTTAATGTCTTCCATAACGTCCATGTCTTCCTTGATCATCTTCCTAACCATTCTTCTAACTTTTAACATAATGATTATTCTTGTTTTCAGTTTTTGGGAGGATTCGTCAGCTTCCTATATCCAGGTCTTTCGCAATCCTTCAGGAAAGCAATTTTACCAGTGCATGTAGCTTTTGGAACCAGTTGTTTCATAGGTGCTATGCTGGCAGCGGTATCAGGACTTTTGGAAAAAGCAATTTGGTCTTTGAAGGACGACTATAAAGAATTTACTATTGAAGGTGTTGTCGTTAACCTCATAGGTGTTTTTATAGCTCTTTACGGTATTTTGGTTTTATATTTGGTTAATCATGATGATTTTAAGAGAACCGCATTGACTGATGATCAAATTGGGTTGGATAGATCTGATTAAAATTAGTATTATGACGTTATAAAGGATTTATTTGCAAGTATACTTAGTCTCGAGATCCTGTTTTAAAATGCCTTCTACATGTCAACAAACGATATGTACAAATTTCCGTTTTATCCCATTACATTGCTGTTACATCTTTGTAGTATGGTATCTATAAAACGTTTTATTTTTTTTCGTATTTATTTTGAAATGAGATATTTTAAGAAGATAAAAGGTTGCATTGTTGGGAATTATATTGTCTCTATTTCAGCTCTGTTAGAATCTTGATTTTCTTCAGATTTTTCTTCCATTAAGTCTTGGATGATAGACAGTTTCTTTTAGTTTTTCAATCATATATTTTTTGTTCTATTTTCTTAGTAATTGCAATTTTAATCTTCTACGCTTTCTCCTCTAGACAAAAAAAGATTTAAAATTATTCAGATACAGTCTACTGGTTATATTTACAGCATTTTTTTGGCAATCAACCTAAACATGTAAATTTCGGAGATTCTAAAATTAGTTTAGATATGTATGTCTAAATGAATAAAAAATGTATTGCTAAATCTGTAACAACAACAATGAATAATGATTGTTGAAATAGAAATATATACCGAATGGGAATGAAATGTTTTCTTCTGGGAAATTACGATTTTCTTTTGTGACGTTATTCCTGCAAGCAATATAATATACAGGGTGAATCCTAAATTGATACTCCTCATTAAAATAAACACTTCTTATGTAGCTAAATTTTTCATACACAAGTCCAATCCCGGATTAAGATTTTCTTAAATTCTGTGTCTTTCTTTGAAAAATACATCTATACACAGTTAAAAAAGAATCAATTTAAGATTCACTATGTATAGAGTGTTCGATTTGTGTTGTACTAAACTTGCTATCACAGAAAATGTAATAGGCTTAAAAACAATTGATGAATAATGCCAAATATATTAAACACGGTGCTGATAATTGTAATAACCTCAATATATAAGGTGCTTATGCTTTTGGTACATTATATTCGTATAGGAAGAAAAATCCTGAACACGTCATCTTTCTATCATATTCTCAACTGTCATACCTACGTCATTCCTCTCGCCTGTTACTCTAACCAATGCAATTTATATAGAGAAAGTATCAAGTATGACACATCATTGAACAGGGAATTTTATGGGAAATTCAGCAAGATGTACCAATTTAATTTTTTTCATTTCAAACTTTTTTTATATTATTTGAAATTGTCCTTTAAGATTTTTGTGGAAAGACTATTATAACCCTAAGTTATTACGGATAAGAATTATATAAAACAATTAAGAAATTACCATCAGGTACCCCTTTAATTAATAACGAATTACTTCTTTAACAGTTGCTGAAAGCAGGGCTGGTTTTAGAATATATACACGATATTTATGAAATATAAAGGAGTGCTTATTTAACCATTACAATTGCGTTACTTTTGATTTTAGCGCCCTCTAGCGGGATATGTATCTGTAACATTTGTTGCCTCTCCAAGACTATTGAGCATCTCTCTAGATGTCATACTTGGTACTTTCTCTAATTAATGACGTATGACAGTTGAGGTTATGCTACAAAGATGTCCCTTTTCCAATAAACTGAAGGGTTTTGGGAGATATTCAGGGTTTAATAAATCACCCCGTATATATTTATAGTAACAATAATCCTCCACAGTTAGACGACGATATATGATGGAGATTTTGATAGCACAATGTTAACTATTTAAAAAAATGTATTTTGACAAGTTTACAAATTGTCTAGTCCTAATTTATACCTTTTTTGTCCATTTTTTTTCTGTCCATCGTTACAAATATTCGAGGCAAAGTCTCTATGTTGTTTTATCATTTTATAAACTGTTAAATGTTTATAAATTTATCAATTTCAAAGGGTGCTTTTTTTAATTTACTTAAATTTTTATGTGATAAAAATATTCCTAAATATGATTAAAAATTAAGTTATTTCGTTTCTATAGTGCAGTCAAATTTTTCTGTAGGCTGAGTAATGTTTTATCAGTTTTATTTTGATTCTTTTTTACCTATTGTTATTTATAAAGGGTCTACCAATAAGAATGATATAACTTGAAAGTGCTATAAAATAAAAACAAACTAATATATTTCTATGATTTTTTTTTTATTTTGCAGCCAACTATATGACATTATGTTTTGAATAAGACATCATTAAGATGGCCGCCTCGGCTGCGGCGGCAGACGTGTAGACGATGAATCCAATTTTCGTTAACTTTTTCCAATAAGTTTCGTGAATAGCTCGGGTGATATTAGCTTTCAAGTCGTCGCTAGTTTGGGGATTGTTAGTGTATACTAAAGACTTTACATATCCCCAGAGGAAAAGGTCGAGAGGTGTAAGATCACAAGATCTTGGTGGCCAGTTGATTCGAGCATGTCGGGAAATTATTCGCCCCTCAAAACGCTTCCTCAATAAATTCATTGTGTCTCGGGCAGTGTGCGATGTTGCACCGTCCTGTTGAAACCACTTCTCTTCCATGTCTCCAGCATTAAGTGCAGGCCAAAGAAATTCCGTTAGCATGGCACGATAGCGCTCTGCACTCACTATTACAGTATGCCCATCCGCATCCTCAAAAAAGTAGGGACCGATAATTCCGCCAGCATGCAAACCACACCAGACAGTAACTTTCACGGGGTGTAATGGCCTCTCCACTAGTTGCTGGGGATTGTTCTCACATCAGAAGCGACAATTTTGCGTATTCACAAAGCCATTAAGCCAAAAATGGGCTTCATCTGAAAAGTGATTTGTTTACCAAAATCAGCATTTTCTTCTAACTGCAAAAGTGCCCAATCGGTAAACATTCTCCGCAAAGCATGGTCGGCAGGCTGCAGTTCTTGAGTTATAACCATCTTATATGGATGTAGGCCCAAATCTTTCTTCAAAATACGCCATGTTGACATTGCTGAAATGCCTAGTTGCTGAGAACGGCGCACAACGGATACATTTGCATTTGCGTTCACGCTTTCCCTTACCGCAGCGCTATTTTCAGCACTCCTTGCAGTTCTTCGTCTTGTCGGTGGCTTACTATCCAAGAGAGTGTAATCCCGTTCAAACTTGGCAATTGTGCGCCTGATAGCGAGCTCAGAAGGTCGTCCATGTTGGCCAAAATCTTCACGAAGAGCACAATAACAAGCTCTAACCGATCGCCCATTTTCATAATACCTCTGTACGATAACTAAACGTTACTCTTTACTTAGTCGATTCATGGTGAAATGTCAAAGTATACTGAACACAAACCACGCTTGCTTCTTGTTATCACAATCAACATTGTACGCATATGATCTTCGAAAATTCTATCACTCCTATTGGTAGACCCTTTATATAGTTTCTGACTGAAGCTAAATAGGTTTTGTTTGTTTAGCTATGAAAAATGTATTAAAAATATTTATTTTTGGAAAATTTACTTAACTTTTAGAATATCCTATGTATATATTATAAAAAAATATTTTAATTAATTTTAATGAACTACAGGGTGATCACTAAGTACAAAAGTGTTATTCCTTACTCAATTCTTAATTTTTTTTAATTAAATCTGATTATTTACCTTGCGCACGTCACTGGTAATAAAAATTTAACTAATTTTCGATTTACAGTTATTTAATATCCCTATATTTTCAAAATAAAGTCATTTGGATGCAGTTTTCGTCTTAAAATTGAGTAAGGAATAGCACCTTAAGGTTTGTCCACGTAGCATATACATATATCACTCTGTATACTTGTTATGTTGCGTTATTTTTGTAAATGTTTGTATTTATATGAAAAATATTAATGGATATACACCTATGTTGTATTATAAATAATATATTTAAAAATAAAATATGTTATTATTATTTTCCTTAGAATCTATGAAGGAAGTTACTATAAGTGATATCTTACCTACTCCATCATAAAAATACATATTCAAATCTGCAGAAAAATTGAAATAAAGGAAATAAATTTATTATTTTTTTAATTTCTATAAGAAAAACATTTCAAAACGACCTAATGTGGAAAATGAAAAAAATATAATGTGTCCAACATTACAGGTTTTTTCTGTACAACATATTGTAACACCCCTGTAAATTTTTAGAGTATGAACTAAATACATACATTTTCTACCCACATCTTAATCGAAACATTTTTTTATTATTCATTGCCAACGAAAATTTTTCAAAATTTACATTTTATCAAATATCTCGAGTACGGTCCATTTTAGGAAAATTGTGTATAAGACAAGAATTATAGAGAATAACATTGCAAACAACTTTTATTAAAAGAATTTTCTTCTCAAAAAGTAAATAACGGATATATTTCATGAAATAGAAAAACCACCCTCTATAAAGTACCCCTCCAGATGTTACGATTATGCCCAAAATTTAATTAATTCACCACAGGATGGATTAAAGCTTAAATTTAAAATTTGATATTTTTCTCTTTATCCGTTTTTGAGTTATCTTCAAAATTTGCACTTTTTATCAAATATCTCGAATACGGTCCATTTTAGGAAAATTGTGTATAAGATAAGAATTATAGAGAATTGCATTCCAAGCAACTTTTATTTGAAGAATTTTCTTCTCCAAGCGTAAATAAGAGATATATTCCATAAAATAGAAAAACTACCCCCAAAAAAGTACTGTGCGGTCCATATGTATGGAATACATTCATTTTTAGCGTTATTACTTGTGTACTTTTTGGAAAAAACTGGTAGATTTTTATGTTTAACTTGACAATTTATAGAATGAAAATATTATCACCCTCTTTCTTGTATCACCTTCGGAAATTTTAAATAAGAAAGGGGATTGATTGATCAATTGATCATGTGTCACTTTGTTTGAAGGGGATTTTAATTATCTCATAACTGAGAAAATAAATTTTGAAAATGTAAAATTTTGATTTACAGTCATAAAACTTCGTAGAACAAAGTCAGACTTTTTATTTAGTTTACGCTTGTATTGATAATATTCTTATATTTTGATTTATTAAAAAGGGTTTATTTAACCCATCCAAGACAAAGTTTCGAATGAAAGATTTGTCGATCAAATACATGAAAGACAATTTTTAAAATCAATATTCTTCATAGTTCAATGTAAAAGATACGTAGTTATCTACCACGTTACACTAGCGCCATCTTTTACTTAAAAACCCAATCGTCCTGTAGATTCCTCTTTTAGGAATGTATCGTCCCATTTACCAAATCAAAAATGAAGTGGTAGAATTTAAATGGGCATTTGTTGTGGAAGTAGATTTATTCTTTTTTATTAATGCTTTTTGAATAAATAAGGTATTTTTTGTATATATTTTCCGAAATATAGCTGAATTTGAGGTGATCAATAAAAGATACAAAATTACAAAAGTTGATGGTATCATTAACTCAATTACAGAAAGAAACAAACTTCATCATAAAAAAAATCATTTTTTTTTGTTATTATCTATAGAACGCTTTGTGCAATTTAACTGAGATTTTCATAATTTTTTAAAACTTTGAAGTATCTCTGCAAAATAATGGAATTTTGGCATTCACTGTATAACTCGAGAATGGTAGTAGACCCTGTAGTAGATTGTTTTTGTTTCACCACATCAATGTACTCTAAGATAATCAACTTTTAATCATCTTTGTAACTGTTCCGGTTTAGACTATAGCAATGTTTGCTTATGATAAAATAATTCTACACACTTTCTTTAAAAAAAATCAGTTTTTTTTATTATTATTTAATATTAATGTGTAAAACAAAATGTCATGTTTATATTTTAATATATTGAGCTGTAATAACAAATTTCGTATCAAACAAACTTTTTCTTTTCTATTTTTTGAAATAGTTTCTTTTGTCAAAAAAAAACAAATAGCATTTTTGGTTTTCACTGTATAACTCGAGAATGGTAATAGACCCTGTATATTTTTTATAATCACTGTAATGTTTACCAAAATAGACAACTTTTTTTCTATTTAATCATCTTTGTAATTGTTATGGTTTAGAATATAACAATGTTTGAACATGCTAAAAAAATTCTACAAACTTTCTTTTAAAAAAAATCCGTTTTTTATTAATACGCTTTTTCCAATTTTACTGATATTTTTATAATTTGTTAATTGTTTAATGATGTATCTTTTTGAACTTTTACAATTGATCCAGCAATTCCATGTGCCAATATTGGCACATGATTAAATACTTTTTTTTATTAACATTCACAAATAAATATCGACCTGTCCTGTTCGGTTTTACTGAAATTTTTACAATTTCAATGAGGTATATTTTGGACCTGCTGTATTTTGTTTTGATTTAATAAAATGGGCCGATCCTGGCGGTACTGCAATGCCAGGCCAACCCGCGACGGAGGTGGAGCAAGCCCCTAACCCTCCATCAATTTCCAAAAATCAGTTTAATATACTGGCCCCGCATGCGGGGCGTATCAGATATTAAGCTGATAAGAACAGATACTACACTTTGATCTTAGCCAGAGGCCGAGAAGCGATACCTAACAATCATTTTCCCCCGGTATACCTAAGATGGAGTTACGAGTGAAGCGCTTGGTTAACAGCGAATTTTGTGCCTACATCTATCGGTGTATTTTAGAACTAATTTGACCTTTTATTTGAAGCGCCGGTGTAATCATAAAGTTCCTTGGGATCGATATTAGGGTCCACTTTATCTTTCATGTAGGCTTCTCAATTACCAAAGCAAAATACGTCTAATTTTTCTCTTATTAATTCTGGTATTCCTTAGGGATCAATAGTGGGTCCACTTTTATTGGTCATGTATAATTCTCAATTACAATCTGCTCTTAAAAACAGTTAAATTTAAAGTTGGTTGCTTTTTGTACTAGAATAATATATTTATTTTAGGGTTTATTATTATTTGTTAATTACTTATATCAATACTGTTTGTTTAATTTATTTTAAATATTACGTAGTTCTAGTTTTAGTGGTTGAGTGGACGAGATGGTTCTAGTATTGACCCGCCTTTTGGATATACCTAGGTATATTTATTTTATTGAAACATTATTTATAAGTATATTTTGAGCCAATAAAAAGATTATTAATTATTTAGATAACGTTTGAACTATAATCACGCAATAGTCAGGAATAAAATACGGTAAAGTATACGGATGATTTAAAAGCTACAGAGTGAATTAATTAGAATGTGCTTAGAACCAAAGTAGTCTGAAACTATAGGTAAAATACTTTCAAGTAAAGATCTAATTTTAGTCCATGTTTTAAAAATGATAAATTATATTTGGCTTATTTTCCACAGATCATACAACCTAGTCTTCTCAAAAATAAATTCCCTCTCGCCTTTTAGGAATAATACGCCTGACAGGACACGTGTTATCCCATTGCAGCTACGAAGATTTGTACGAATAGTACTAAAATACCCTCAATAAACCAATTGACTTTATAGTCTCCTTTGGACTTTTTAGTCATTTCACCGGACCCTTACGTCCTAATAATCGCAAATTCACCATGTCAACATTTGACAGTATACGAATACGTACTCTATCAGTGTTATCTCAACCCCTTACGATCCAAGATAAGTAAATTTTCAGCTAAAGAGAATAAATTTTATCGTGAAATTAATAGGTTATATGATCAGTAGGGTCCAATCACTAATGGACAATTTTCAAAATATTCCTGGGAGTATATCTAACACCAACTTATCTACATGTTTTTGGTATGTTAAGCGCCATCTGTGTTTTATTGAGATAATTATTATCAGATAATCGGTACGCATTGTATAAAACTTTAAATACTTAATAATTCATTAGATCTCTAAAAGATGGCGCAAGCAATTTATATTATTAAAAAAATTAAATTTACATGTAATGCTACATTGTAAAGCTATTTAAAAAGTGCAAATTACCCGGGAACAGATCAAACTTATCTGGAGGGCTATTTTCAAAGTATGGGAGCACTCATTTCTCTCAAGATTCCCATCAGGAATGTCATATGTCAATGTGGAAACGCTGTTTTTAAAGGCCTCGAGAATTAAAATTCTTAGTAGAATTTTAATTATCTCTAAATAAACCGAGAGAAACAGTCAGTGAGTTCACACCGGCCCTAAGAGCCCTAAAAATACTGTCTTACGTTGACGTATGACATTTCTCTTGAGAGAAATATATTCTCTCGAGTTTGAAAATAGCTCATTTTATTTTATTGGTCACTGTATGCAACCTAAACATCCCATTTTTATAAACATATTTTAAACAGTTTTATAGAGCAATAGCAAAAAATCACTTCTGTGAGCTAGCTCCATGGGCACTACCAGCCCTGCTTAGAAATATTAAAAAGTTAGACTTTTCTAATAAGGTAGGCAGCACCAATTACATCAATACGTCATCTTGTGTCGGGTTCGAAAATAAGACAAGAGTGAATTTGTTACAGAACAACGTTGGCACATATCATGGCTAATTTGGAGGCCCCTAATCGTGTTTTATAGGCCCTTTAGTACCGAAAATGTTCAAAAACTGAAATATCCAGACGCGCCTTCAGATATAATCATAGAACAAAAATCAATTCGTCAAATTTTTGTTCCATGTCATGTGTCGCTTTTGCTTTTTTATCGACTTTTGTTTTGGTGTACTGTCAGTCAAGTTGAGGTTGTTTTATATTTTTTTAATTAAGCTTTAAATCCTACAAAAAATCGTTTTAGAATGAGTGTTTTAAGAGAAAAAGTAGACAGCATAAGCAACAAACCGTTACCCCATTTAGAATCGAGAGTTATAACGCCAGAGGAGGTTTTAAAATTAACAAAAATCACTGATACATATTTATGTGATCCCGATGCAAACATATACGATATCGACTTTACTAGATTCAAATTGAGGGATTTAGAAAGCGGGGCTATTTTGTTTGAGATAGCCAAACCATTGCCGGATAATATCGAGGACAACGTCGATAAAAATACGGAAAATGAAGAGATTGTTGATCCGAATGCTGGTAGATTTGTGAGGTACCAGTTTACACCGCAGTTTTTAAAATTAGAGACAGTTGGAGCTACGTAAGTAATATAATTTATTATATAATTGTATAGTAGGTTTTATTTCTTAAAACTATCCACTCTAAGTAGATTCTAGCATAATAGGTTAAAAAAAAATGTAAAAGATGTGGTAAGTATAGGAATAATTGACGCCCCTTCAATTGCTCTTCAAAAAAATAACATTAGACTCGATTTGAGAAGTTTCTGTGATTAGAATATTTGTAAACAATGTTACACACATGCAGTTGATAATTCATAAGATCAGTGAGACTAAATTCATGTTAAATTTATTCAAAATATTCCTGTATGTGTATTAAACAATGTTTTATACTTGTAAGCCCTATACCCTCATTTTTTTAGTGTCAATAATTGGAATAAACTTTACCAGTATTTTCCATTTACTGACAAACTCTGTCAGTTACTGGTCCACAAGCAAATATACTGATACAGTGTTATTCTACTGTTTAAAAATCTGAATCAACCTTTTAAATAAGAGATTAACAGGGTATCAACTATTGGTGCCAGAAGTGTCAATAATTGTTATGTCAATTACTGGAACTTGAAAAAAATCAAGTGTTAATAACTTGGGCTTCAAAGGACTTTTTATACAATACTTATTTCAGAAAAAAGAAAATTATCTTGTAACTCAGCAAGGAGAAATATTTTTTCTAAGTGATTTGGGCTAAATTCTCATATTTTGAGCCCAAAATTTTTCATATAAAATATTTTCACATTTTAAAATGATGCAGACAGGTATACCTAATGTAAATAAATTTATGAACTTAAAATAGTTACTCATTCTTGCAAAATAAAATAAATTCTTCCTTGATTTGTACTACTATAAAGTGATTTAAATCTCCTTTATTGGCATCTGCTGTTTAGGCAAGTAAAAAGATTTAGTGTTACAAAATTAAATACAAAACATCCTTTTGATTTTTTTAATCTTTAAATTTTTATTTAGTATAATCCTGTGCAAATTTCATGATAAATTGCCAGTGTGTTTAGTTTTCCCCACTTTCGATTATATACACACTAGATTAGGGCCTATTTAAATATGTGTAAGATCTGTGAAGCAACAGCACATGCAATAGAGATTTTTTCGTATTTGGCACTTAAACAGAAATGCAATTTGAAATGTTTAAAGAAAATGTGTAAAAACTTTTTTCTTTATCAGAACTCAAGAGTGATTTTTTTATTTCAAATTTTGTCTATCATTCCTAAGAATATTTTACTGAAATCAAAGAATATCCATTTTGAAGGCCCCCTCTATCAACTATTGTTGTCCTGCCCTAAATCCTGTTGTGCAGTAGGTATATGAGGTATACCCTGTGTTCTACATAAAATGTTTTGTTCAGACATCTGTAGGATATTTCAGCTATTGTTGTTTATCCCATTATGAATAGGCCTGTAAAATGAAAATTAAAAAAGCATCAATTTTTTTTCTTGCAAAACATGAAATTCATTAAATTTTAATATAAAAATATCATTGTACAAATATACAGGGTGTTTCAAAAAGGTATGTCACAAATTCTTTCACAGATAGATTACCAAAAAATAAGTGGATTTGGCTATATTTACCTATATCAAAAACTGGCTCCCAACAAAGTTACAGGGCGTTAAACTAACATTCAGAAAAACTTTTTTTTGTAAAAAGTTTGCTGTTACGAAGTTTTCTTTGAAATTTTTGCCAGTGCTGTAAATTTGAAGGCCCAATATTCTAAGGAGAAAAAAAATTTAAAGCGACACCTTTAAAAAAAGTTGGGGGTTGGGTACCTTTTAACCCCCCCGTATTTTTTTTGTCATAAAGAAACTTGCTTTATCGATCTTAAAATCAAGAAGAACTATGAATTTTTAAATTTTTTTTATTGTAAAATGAACTTTGTATCTTTCTTAGTTAAGAGTTATTGCTCCGATGACAATAGCAGGAAATTTGTATTAAAAATAGGCATTCTATTTTAATCCTAGAAGACACAGTTTTAAAGATAATACCATATATTTTTTATGTGTAAAGAGAATAAGTGGCACTAGCCCTGGGTTTTCATACTTTTTTTGAAAAAATGGTCCGTTTTGTCTACAAAAAATTATAAAGTTTATTAATTTTGTTTAAAAAAGGACAACTTTTAATAGAGAATTAACATTATCAAACATGCATTATTTTTCGAACGATTAATGTGCAAGGGATTTTCTCGCCACAGAGAAAACGATTCCTTACGAATGACGCTGATTACGGGCGGTTCTCGAGCGCCAGATTTTTGGTGATGGTTTACTCCACGAACTTTCGAAACGGCGTCGAAAGTACTCGGGTAGCTACAGATGGAGATGAAAAATTCCAGGGGTCAAAGGTCACTTAGACACAGGTAATAGTAGGCCACAAGTAACGGGCTTTAATCGTTGCTTGGGCTGGTACAGAATTAATCACTAGCTGAAATATAAGGGGGAAATAAATTTAGGAATTAACAACCAGTAATACGGCCAGTTAACATTGACACATATATTGTTTTAAAATATTTACAAACGTAAAGGAATAAATTAATGTATTTCAACGCCCACCCTCACGGTAATATGTACAAACCCTGAACAAAAATAAACAAACAAAACGGACGGAAATGACTTTCGAGTAGTCTCAATCAGACGTAAAGAAAAAAATGAAATCAATACTTGTAATTATCACGGTCGCAGTAAAAGTTTATTATTGAATTGTCTATTCTGTTGTTGAGTTAAAAATGCAATTTGCTATTTCATTCGGAAGTATTATTTCGGTCGCAGCAAAAATTAACTGTTAAATTGTCTAATCGGTATTTACAATCAAATTTAATTGAATGCTTCAGTAAAGCAAAATATCATATGCGGTTGCAGAGAATGCGAAGAGACAGGTTCGGGACAATACTAATTCCAGGGCTGAAACTGGGACCCTATAAGAGGTTTACTCACTAGTGGTTGGAAAGTAAAACCAACTAACAACCGGGATAGTACATTATCTCTGAGTGAAGCGATCGTAATCACGAGCCGCTTCAAACTGGGGAATGATACTATTTAATGTCAATTAAATAACGGAGTTTTACATAAAATAAATTTAATAACCGGGATAGCACATTATCTCTGAATGAGGCGATCGTAATCACGAGCCGCTTCAGACAGGGGAATTATACTATTTGAATTCACTTACAATAACGGAGACTAACGCAAATGAGGGTTTCAGACGGAAAATAAACTAATAACCGGGATAGCACATTATCTCTGAATGAGGCGATCGTAATCACGAGCCGCTTCAGACAGGGGAATGATACTATTTTAGTTCTGTTGAAGTAACGGAGACTTACGCAAATGAATTTTTAGATATAAAATGAACTAATAGCCGGGATAACACCTTATCTCTGGATGAAGCGATCGTAATCACGAGCCGCTTCAAACTGGGAATGATGCTATTTAAATTCTCTTAAAATTTGCAGTTCGGAGGATAAACTATCTACGATCGAATGAAAAATAAATTGTTTAACGGTCAAGACTTTAAATAAACTAAAATTAAATTTATTATTTATTCACGGAAATTTCCAGTAGTAGGAAAAATTAACTATACGACTATATTTACAATCAAATGAAAAATAAATTATTTAACAGAACTTTAAATAAACTAAAATGAAATTTATTAGTTATTCGCGGAAATTTCCAGTAGTAGGAAAAATTAACTATACGACTATATCTACGATTGAATAAAAAAAAATAAATTGTTTAACGGTTAAAACTTTAAATAAACTAAAATGAAATTTATAAAGAACGGTGTATTCTAACAAGAATAAATTAAAGTATTTCTCAATCAAAACAAAACCCAATTCCTAAATCAACACGGAATATTGTTATTTAAAAATAAATCAAATTAATCGGTTTCAAATAGCACGGTTTAAAGACTCGGGCAAGAAAGAAATTATAAAAAAAATGACAACAAACTTTACCTTTCGGTAAATTCGCGGCGTGAAATAAATTTCGGAATCGTATCTAGTAGCGTTTAATCGACTATTCAATTTGACGGTGTAAAAGCAAGTCTGTTCAATAAATCGGTATATTAGGAACTATCGATGTTGTAAAAATATCGGAAAGAAAACATCGATTTTTGTAAACATCGATGTTTTTTTATAAACGAACAAAAATAAACAAGACAATGGAAAGAATCTTATTTTTATTTTTTATTATTATTAATAGACTCAGAGTTAGCGGCTGCAAGGTAGTACGATCCTTCTTAGATAATAAAATATGAAGTCTATGGTATGATCGTACCTCCGGCTGGAATTTTGTAAAGTGGTAGGCGGGACCATCAGGAAGTGTCATATGCAAGGATTTAGTTTAAAATTCCTGCAAACAAGACGTCAGACAACTGAAAGTTGTTAAAAATATCGACTAAAAACATATAAAATACACATACACACACACTTGACATGACTCTTTAGCTCAGGTTTGCATTGAACATGTAGTCAATTTTGCATTTCGCGACGTGATTCAATTCACAATAGATGCAATTTTTTTTATTTTTGAAAAATATGAAAATTAGATAAAAATACGTACTATTGTTGTTTATTTATTTTAAATACATTTTTATTTATTATTATTACTTTTAAAATATTTATCATCACAAAGTTTTCATTTTCTTGCCAAAACTTGTTAATTTTCAAGAAAATGTGTTATTTTGCATAGATATGTTTGAATATTTTTTAGTTTTTTTACAATAAAACTATGTCACTGTCGTTTGTTTCGATTATTTTATTCAAATTTTTAATGGATTTAGATTTTTAAAATAGCAAACGAACCAGAACTAATTATAAGTTCACTGACCAAATTTATTTTTATATAACCAACCTTCCTTCTCCGAAAATAATTGATTTTAATACCAAAAATGGTTTATTTTTATTTGTTTTCTTTTCGCAATTAGGCATTCCAAACTGAATGACTACCAGTGGGTTTTGACAGGTTATGATGTGGCAAAGTTATGGCAACTCTGTAGGCCTGGTGATTTGACAAGGTGAGTGACATAGATAGTTACATAGATTGATCATCCCTACTTTTTAAAATAAACATAAGCTTATGCCTTGAAGTAAAAATATAAGCAATTATTATTTTTTAAATATCTAAAGTCTGAAAATTGGTTTTAAAACACATTTTGGCTAAACTGATTCAAATTAATAAATATTTGCCAGGCAATATGGCCGCTCGCAAACGACCAGCTTTGAGCAATGTATATAGCATATATGTATCATTGACCCTATTAATGACAACATGACAACAGGGTTGCCATATCTAAACTGTCAGTACCCACTGGTAGCCATTTGGACAGGTCGTTGGAATACCTAATATATTCAACTTATGCCGCGTTTGAGAATCCACATCGGATGCATTTTTTACATCTCGAGCGTTTTTTATCCACATCGGACACATCATCTACATCTGCGTTTGTTTATCCCAGATGTACCTGTTCAGATTACATTTTTTATATCTCGATTTGAAATGAGATATGAATGAGATGTTCGTTCCATGTCAGAAGGTAAGTGTTCTGTGAAGCCTTGTTTGTCAATTTATCCTTTGTTTATGCTAGCCTGAATATAAAAGTGATTAGTTTGTATAATTTTTGTTTATATTTCAAATTTAGGTTGATTTGTAGTCTCAAAAGTCAAATTTAATAAGTATAAACTTCTAACTTGTCATTGACATTTTATCACGTGACCAAATAAAGTCTAGAGCGTTTGTTTATTACATCTACATTCAGATCTAATTCTCTATCACGTGATAAAAAATTCACAACATCTCAGATGCATCCGATGTGGATTCTCAAACGCGGCATTAATATAGTTAGTAGATAATTTTGACACTTGCTGCGAATACAAAAGATGACACTTTATAAGTCAAAATTAGAATAACTTTAATTATTAAAAAATATTACGATTAAATTTCTGATAGGAACATTGCAAAAAACACGCTTAATTAACAATCAATTTAATTTCTACGATTAATTATATTAATTATTAGATAGAATAAATTATTATTCAAATGGGAAAAAATAATCAAAATCAAGAACTTTGACTCGATAATGAACAATATACAAATAAGTTGTTTTACTCGGGATTCACTAATTCAGGATAAATAATATTTTTATTAGTACATTTCTAATTAGGCTACCTGTCCAAATTTTAAATCTGTAAATCGAAAATAAAAAAATAAGTACCTACATAATAATAGAACTATTAACATTTTTAATAAAAAAAATATCTTCGTCTGGGCGGTAAATCAAATAGGTCGTGACTTCCGACAAGTAACCTGTAGTTTCCTACACCAATATTTTTAGAGTCCTTCAAAGAGAGGCCCAACTTTTTTTTGTATTTGCGGTATTCCTTTATAGTTGACTTATTGTTTTTGACTATGGAGTCTATTCTGTAAAAATTCCTTTATATTTAACGGCCTTTAAAAATATTTTCTTCTTTAATTCGGTCACTATTTAAACGGATCTTTAAAATACATTAGAGGACTATCTAAAAGAAATCTGTTTAAATAAGGACAGAAGTAAATTAACGAATACAAAAATATTTTTAAAGGTCGCCAATATTTTTAAAGGCCGTTAAATATAAAGGAATTGTTACAGAATAGACCCCCATGTCCTGTTTAAATTTAAAATTAAAAAACATCGATATTAGATAAAAAAACATCGATGTTAAATAAAAACATCGCATAAAAAAACATCGATAAAAACATCGATAATCGAAAGAGAAAAATCAATGTTTTTTTAACATCAATACATCGTGCGCATCCCTAGTTTGAACAGCGATTAAATCTGATGATATACATGGTATATACACGAAGTTAAAATTAAATAAAAATCTTAACTAATACCCGGAATTAATTAATAATAATATTAATGAAAATTGACTTCATTACAAATGTCAACTTGTAGTAAATCTTTTTCTTAATAAGATCAAAAAATAATTTTTAAAATTGGATTTAATATAAAGCCGTAATCATTAAAATAGCAAAGTAATTTCGGATATAAAAATGATTGAAAAATATAATTACGATATCCCCTCTCAAGACGTTCCGTGTTCGTACCGAAGGATGGGTGCTGTTGCCTTCCTCGTCTACCTAGTATTGAAATCTGGCCAGATACGGAATAAGGGTACATATAGGATCGAACTGAAATTTAGTGTTGCTCGGTTGGTGCGAAGAGGGAAATTTTATTTGTTTTTAATATAGAATTTGCAATGTTTCAATATATTTAAAACATAGTTTGATTAGAAAAAATTAGGTAGAAAAATTATATTTGTATAGTAGGTATATATTATATTTTCTAAAATAATTCATTTTGCAAAGAATATCAACTAAGCTACTAATAAATTAAAATCTATAAATCAGCCTTATAAATAATGTATTTAACAAATGTTTCATACTATATTAATAATTTACATGTTTTCTGACTTATCTGTGAATGAAACGTGGAGAAAATAGTTTTACTTACAAGTTTTTCCTGATTCTGTTGCTGTCTGCTGTTGTAGTGATCTGATAATTTGTAGACTGTAGGTATAATTGTTTACAAAAAGATATTTCCTTGGATGCCCTCTTTTCAGCATAGAATAAATAAAGCAAGAAGATGACTTAATATTTTATTTTGTACAAATATATAAAATATATTAATTTACACCATTTAACATATAATAGTATTTTGTAATTTTTACAATACTTACGAATGCCTCTTATTCGTAATTTATGCAATTGGTTGGGAGCCAGTTTTTGATATAGATAAATATAGCCAAATCCACATATTTTTTGGTAATCTATCTGAGGAAGAATTTATGACATACCTTTTTGAAACACCCTGTATAAAAAAAATAAAGATAAATATTAAAATGTACTCTCGTGGTAATTTTTTATCACAAATATTCTCTAAATGAATACTGGACAAGAATTTTCAATACAGACGGGCCATTTAGTCATTTGCGCACCGTTCTTAAAATTATTTTAAAAAACATCCCTAAAATTGCATCAGGACATCGACATGGAGCAACATATCAATTTTTAGCTTCATTCTAATTTTTCACATGTAAATCTACTCTATAATCTATAATATTGATTAATAAAAAAACAAACTTACTGTAAAACTTACGCGACTATTGCACAGAATCGGACTAACATTTTAATGACCTGTAAAAAAATGTTCAAAGGAAATAATCAACTTTTAAATCTATTACTATAATATTGGTTCAATATGTTCTATTTGTCTTCTAGGGTAGAATTCACTGTAGGCAGTAAGCCTGTAAATAACTTTAGAATGATAGAACGCCATTTTTTTCGAGACAAGTTATTAAAAACGTTCGACTTCGAATTTGGATTCTGTATACCGTACTCAAGAAATACTTGCGAGCATATTTATGAATTTCCTTCATTACCTCCCGAACTAGGTAAGTAAATAACTCGATTACATTTATTCGATTACCATTAATTGTGTTTTTAGTTCAAGAAATGATAAACAATCCATTTGAAACCAGATCCGACTCGTTCTACTTTGTGGATAACTGTCTTATAATGCACAATAAGGCTGACTATGCTTACAACGGGGGCATGTCAACATAACATTAAATTTTTTTTATATATACAGGGTTTTGAAACACAATAATTTTCGATGTTTGAGATATATTTACACTTTTTCGGGTAAGTCAAGCAATTACAAGTAATAACGTTAAGTGCGTTTTGATTTTACACGAGCACGAAATAAAATGCTTTTTAAGATAAAAAAATATTCACTTGGTGCGCTTGATTGAAGAGTTTTTTAGAGTTTACGGTAATTATTATAGAGCTTTAACTGATTGTAATGACAGTGTTGATCAAAAACTAGATGATTATTTATAGAAAATTCTGGAGTGATTTGAAATAGTTCTCGAATGGAATAGAAAATCTAAATAGTAAGTTAAAGAAAAAGAAGATACAAAAAGATGCCTAAAAATTCCACAAATGCTGCCACATATCGCTACAGGGGCGGATTCAGGTTAATAAATGTTTGATGATTAGTTGGGACATTTGATTGGTAGATTAGATAGTGGGGAATAAGGGGGAAAAGGTTGTACTGGGCAGTAACATATCGTCGTTGATCGTGAAATACATTCTGTATAAAAATATGAATTTTACATGAGGAAGAAAAATCAGTTTATTTCTGTTGTTTCGCATTAAACTAGTGTATAATACAAAAACAACAAAAAACCTCTGAAAAAAAATCAAAAAACGTAGAATTTTACTAAATAGAAGATTTAGACCATCTTGAGTTTATACATAGGATTATTTTCCAAAGAATTTTAGGCACATAAGATTTTTTAAATCCCACTTTATTAGAAACGTAAAAAACATAAAAAATCTTATGTAGAAGCTACTTATACTAAAATTTAAATATTACATATAGACCAGGGTCGATAATTTTTGAAACAAAAAAAAAATAATAGTAGGATGAAACCTGTTAAAAAAAGACGAGAACATAACAAAAATGAAAGGAAAAATAATTTACGGGCGATCTGAGGTCGGGAAGTGGAAAGGGGTGAGTTTTTAAGGGTAAAAACGGTGTATTTCGATTTCCGGCAAAACTACAAGTCCTATGGAAAAAAATAAAAGACAAAGTTGTAGGTAATAAAGAGACCTACAACTTTTGTAATTACACTTTTTTCACATAACCTCAAAATTTATGCGAAAAATTCAAATATTCAAGTTTTTGGTTTTTTATTTTTATCTTATGCAAAAAAAAATATTTTTTTTCTCGAAATTTGGTAAAACTTACCTTTTTATGTCCTAAAGACACTGTACTTTTTTTGATTTGAAATATTTATTTTGTTTACCTTATTTTGACTTAATATCGAAAAAACACCCTAATTTTCAATCGAAAGTTCTCGCGTCAAAATATCAGCTTTTTAAAAAAAGTCGGGGAGTTTTTTGTTCGTTGAAATCTCTTCTTTCTGATAATGTAAAAAAATATATACATTACTATGGTAAATGTTCTCAGAAAATGCAAAGAAAAGAAAAAAACTCGAATCCGAATTTTTTTTTTTTTTTTAATCACTATGTACAATTTTGAGCAATTTAGTAAAATTGAAACTTTAATTACTTGAAAAACGTCAGATTCTATATTACATTGATAAACAAAAATATTACAAATCCATAAATCATAAAAATTGCAAGAAACATGCGAAAATAGTTGTTCTAAATATTAAAGATGGGATTTAAAGGGGGGATTTCAATTAAAAAATATGATTGCTGCATTTTTTTTTAGTCAAAAAGTTGATGTATTAAATTCTAATTACATTTATGTCATAGAAAATCTCATAATATATGAATAAAAATGTAAATCGTACTATTGAATTTAGATACTTTATACTGATTATTATTATTCATAATAATATTATTTTAAAATGCATTAATCTTCTTATTTATAAATCTTATCTTGAACCCTAATCATTTATCCATTATTTTTTGTCTCCTCGGTGGCATTTCTTCATCGTTAGATTCGACAAACCTTCCCGATTCTAGTAGATCTTCGAAATCTTCAAGACCATCACCGTCTTCGTATCCAATATTATTTTTAGTCTCAATTGGTCCTTCATCCACAATTTCATCTGAATCACTAACTTCCTCGTAGGTTTTTTCTTTCACATTGGTGCATTTTTCAGAAGCATTACAATTTTAGCATAAATTTGTGCATTTTAAGCCATGTTTTCAATGAAGCTGAAGCTGGCGGCCAGAGCACGCAGCGGCCGAGGAAAAACAAGGGCCGTAACGAGCGTTCAGCGCCCCGTCCCTAAAAAATTAATGAATTTATAAATAATTTAGTTACCGGCAATGGAGGTTGCAAATAAAGTCCTTAGAGAAGAGGAAACATTTGGACCCAATGGGCAGCAAGAAACAGTAGGCCCAATATAAATAAAAATACCAATAATAGTAATTCTTGCTCCGAAAAAATTGTTCGGTATCAGTTTTGATCCAACTCTGGAACTCAGAAGATCTAGGTATCTTTTAGGGCCCTAGAGAATTTTTTTGGAAAGGGTTAAACCCGTATACTGAGCCCAATGCCATAAAACTTCCGAATTTTGAGATTTTTCGCTCAAAAAAATTCTTTGGTGTCAGTTCCGACCCAAGTCCGGGTCTTAAGAGGTTTAAGTGCCTCTGAGGGAATTGACGAATTTTTTTGGAAAGGGTTAAACCCGTAGACTGCTCCCAATGTCATAAAACTTCCAAATTTTGAAATTTTTTGCTCAAAAAAAATTCTTTGGGGTCAGTTCCGACCCAAGTCCGGGTCTTAAGAGATTTAAGTGCTTCTAAGGGACCTGAAGAATTTTTTTGGAAAGGGTTAAACCCGTAGACTGGGCCCAATGTCATACAACGTCCGAATTTTGAGATTTTTTGCTCTAAAAAAATTCTTCGGTGTCTGTTCCGACCGAAGTCGAGGTCTCAAGATGTTCAAGTGCCTCTAAGGGACTTGACGAATTTTATTGAAAAGTGTTAAACCCGTAGACTGGGCAAAATGTCATAAAACTTCCAAATTTTAACAATTTCTGCTTAAAAAAATTCTTTGGTGTCAGTTCCAACCCAAGTCTACGGGCTTAACCCTTTCGAAAAAAATTATCTATGTCCCTCAGAGGCACTTGAACCTCTTAAGACATTGTATTCGGTCGGGACAGACACCGAAAAATTTGTTTTAAGCGAAAAATCTCAAAATTCCAAGTTTTGATGACATTGGGCCTAGTCTACGGGTTTAACCCTCTTCAAAAAAAAACTCTAGGTCCCTTAGAGGCACTTGAATCTCTTAAGACCCGGACTTGGATCGGAACTGACACCAAAGAATTTTTTTTGAGCGATAAATCTCAAAATGCGGAAGTTTTATGACATTGGGCCCAGTCTACGGGTTTAATAATTCCAAAAAAATTATCTAGGTCCCTTAGAGGCACTTGAACCACTTAAGACCCGGACTTGGGTCGGAACTGACACCAAAGAATTTTTTTTTAGCAAAAAATGTCAAAATTTGGAAGTTTTATAACATTGGGCCCAGTCTACGGGTTTAACCCTTTTCAAAAAAAATTCTCTAGGTCCCTTAGATGCACTTGAACCTCTTAAGAACTGGACTTGGGTCGGAACTGACACCAAAGAATTTTTTTTTGACCGAGAAATCTCAAAATTCGGAGTTTTTATGACATTGGGCTTAACCCTTTCCAAAAAAATTCCTCAAGTCCCTCAGAGGTACTTGAACCTCTTGAAACCTCGACTTGGGTCGGAATTAACACCAACGAATTTTTTTTGAGGTAAAATTTTTACCTAATCAGATTTTGGGCCCTTTTCAAAAAAATTCCTTAGGACCCTAAGAGACACCTAGATCTTCTGAGTTCCAGAGTTGGATCAAAACTGATACCGAACAATTTTTTCGGAGCAAGAATTACTATTATTCGTATTTTTATTTATTTTGGGCCTACTGTTTCTTGCTGCCCATTGGGTCCAAATGTTTCTTCTTCTCTAAGGACTTTATTTGCAACCTCCATTGCCGGTAACTAAATTATTTATGAATTCATTAATTTTTTAGGGAACGCTCGATACGGCCCTTGTTTTACCTCGGCCGCTGCGTGCTCTGGCCGCTATCTTCAGCTTCACACGTTTTCAGCAGCCACATTTTAAACTGTTACATCCAGTTTCACAGCTGCAGCAAATAGTTTTGAGCAATATTTCCGAAATTAACTTATTTGGTTGTTAATTATAGTAGTATATTTCGATTTGTATTTTTTTGTTTATCAATGTAACATAGAATCTTACGTTTTTCAAGTAATTAAAGTGTAAATTTTACTAAATTGCTCAAAATTGTACATAGTAATTAAAAAAAAAAATTCTGATTCGAGTTTAATTCTTTTCTTTGCATTTTCTGAGAACATTTACCATAGTAATGTATATATTTTTTTACATTATCAGAAAGAAGAGATTTCAACGAACAAAAAACTCCCCGACTTTTTTTAAATAGCTGATATTTTGACGCGAGAACTTTCGATTGAAAATTAGGGTATTTTTTCGATATTAAGTCAAAATAAGGTGAAAAAATAAATATTTCAAATCAAAAAAATTACAGTGTCTTTAGGACATAAAAAGGTAAGTTTTCACCAAATTTTGTAAAAAAAAAATTTTTTTTGCATAAGATAAAAATAAAAAACCAAAAACTTGATAATTTGAATTTTTCACATAAATTTTGAGGTTATGTGAAAAAAGTGTAATCACAAAAGTTGTAGGTCTCGTTATTACCTACAAATTTGTTATTTAATTTTTTTCTATAGGACTTGTAGTTTTGCTGGAAATCGAGATACACCGTTTTTTACCCTTAAAAACTCACCCCCTTCCGCTTCCCGACGTGGGATCGCCCGTAAATTATTTTTCCTTTAATTTTTGTTATATTCTCGTCCTTTTTTAATGGGTTTCATCCTATTATAATTTTTTTTTTCACTTTTTATCATTTTCAAAATTATCGACCCTGGTCTAATAGTATTAACATCACTATAAAAACTGAACTGAAATTTACAGAAGTCGCTAAATAAATACACATTTAAAGAAAAACAAAAATACAAATTAATTTTACTGTTTAGTAAATTTTTGTTAATTTTTTATTGTTCTTTAAATTATGTATATATTTATTTACGACTTTTCTGTTGGTTTTTCTTGTCGGGTTGTTTCTTAGAACCTGGCACTTTTTTCTTTTTAATTTTCAGCTGCATTTTCAGAGGACAGCTTCTTATCTTTTTGTAACTTTTCAGTTGGTCTCTTGTTACCGGATTGTTTTCTTAGAACTCCTCTTTCATTTTCAGTTTTTTCCTCGGGTTTTTTATTGTGGTTTTCAGCTGCATTTTCACTAAATAGTTTAAATGACAGGTTACCATATAAAGCATGGTACTCTTTTTCAATAGCCGATTTTAAGTTCTGAAGATCTTTAAATTTAGATTCTGATATAGACAGTGGTTTGTCATAAAGTTGTGTTAACCTTTCCCTGTCAGTTGCAGACTGACGACGTTGCGTGGGTTCTTCCCAGTCTTCTTTGAAATGCATCTTGTACCATATAATTCCTTCTGGACTGCATTTAATTTTACATAAATTAGCTACTACAGGATCTCCAACAGAATTACCAGGTCTAAGAAAAACGAGATTGCTTGTTAATGCGTCATATTTTTTGAAAAGAAAAACGGTACTTCATCCTTTGCTCCAAACTGTAGAGGTACATAACAATATACCCCGGTCAAGCAACTTCCACCAAGGGATTCGTAATCCTTATTCATACTTCTTATTTGTGACTGCACCATGAATGATCTTCAAGATATATGATTCTATTTGCATTCGAAAACGTCTAGTGATTGAATTGTGAATGATTTTCAAGATAAATGATATTCGAACTCAAAACGTTTAGAGATGAAATGTGAATGATCTTCGATCTTCAAGATAAATGGTTCTTATTGCATTTGAAAACTGTCTAGAGATGAAACCGTCTATAGATAGCTATCAACTAAAAAGGTTTAAAATGTTATGATAGGAGAAAGGAAATTTGAAAAGGATTTAGATAAAATGTTTTAACTATTAAATAAATAATTTCACAGACTAAAATTAATATGAGAAGGAAAACTCTTATTTAATATATTTAAATATAATAAAGCATATCTTATTCCAAAAAAATAATATTTAATTTTATATAGAAGCTAACACATGTGTCATTCATTACTGATATAGAGGTTATGTTTAAAATTTGACAATTTGTTCAAGAAATCCTTGCAAATATATATATTTAATACCATATTATTAACAAAACATACCTTATAAAATCAGACGGTCATTGACATTAATAAATATCATTTAATACATCGAATGACCGAGATACAATCAGTATTGATCCAAATAAATGTCACTACTTTTGACATTTGAGTAAGAGGTGATTGTGTCCGAAATAACGGTTCCAACTGTTACAAGTCATAGATAAGTGGTTGTATATTATGAAATTGTGTACTTGCAGTTTAGTTTTGTAGTACATGGCAGATTGTAATGTTTTAGGGCACAAAAGAACACTTCGCAGGTCCATGGTAATTGCTAAGTAGTCATTATTTGCTATTGCTCTAGCTTTAGTAGCATTTTTATCGTCCCTTGCATCATTCTTTCTCTGAATGTTAAGCTGATACTCTTCATCAGGAATATACCCAAGTTTGTGACTGCAACATATGTCACATTGGTCCTTTTCTGGTTTATGTATGGCAATATTTTCGTCCTTCATTACATTTTTCAGTACTGTAATGGATGCGGGTTCGATTTGTCTTTCCAGACAGCATTTCACGTACTCTCTATGCATTTGCGCGTTGGAGTAGAAAATTAATTCCACATAAACCTTTTTTGATGATTTTCTGCAGTAGTAGCTACGTACTTTTGGTAGCAATTCAAGTCAACTTTTAACGGATTGTTCATCTTCAATTTTCTTTCTCTTTCTTGGAGGCTGGCCAATTGTTACTTCAACAGCATCCACTTTGTTTACATCCCTTTGAACCCATCTCTTGAAGGTGTCTTCACCAAGGCAAAATGTATTTATGAAAAAGACACGACAGACTCGGCAGAAAAATATCATGAAACCTCCTATTAGTCCGTCAGATAGTGACAAATTTTGGTGCCCCATTTTCGCATAGAAGCCTCGAAGAGGGTTGAAAAGTACATCGATTTTAAGTAGAATGAAAAGAAATTTACGAGTAGCTGCTGGGGATAACACATGGAAAATTGGATTTTCCCTAACAAAAACGAAATGTTATTTTTACACACAAGCCGTTTTCACTATATGATTAATTAATAGAACTAGGCTTCGGCAAACCAAAGGCTTTAATGTTGCAAGTAGCTATAGGGTTGAAATAAGGGCGTAATCTTCTAAGGAAAAATCTAAATTTTGCCCGATTTTTCCACACAAGCGCATCGAATGTATGAAAATATACTACGGTACTAGTCTGGAAAACATATTTTCTTGAATGACTCGAATGTATAAGTGCATTTTGGGGACGGAAAATTTTTCTGATAAGAAAAATTGAATTTTCCATGTGTTATCCCCAAGAGCCACTCGTAAATTTTCTTTTACTCAACATCGGTGTACTTTTCGAAGCTTGTATGCGAAAATGGGGCACCTAAATCGGTCACTATCTGACGGTCTCTATCAGTGGGGGTTCACAGTGTCAGAATGTAGGTATCAGTACAGATGTATGGAAAGCATTTTCAGTGTTGTACCGGGATCTATATTCTGCTATTGTGAACCCTCAAAATTTTGCTTACGAGCCGCCCCTGGTCTCTATGTGAATCTTACAACGAACACCAGCTGAGAGGCTGTAAACTGAAAAACGTCCTATGTGGAATATGACCACATAGGAGGTATTTCAAGACGAATTTGATGTATACACACAGGGCGTTTTATTTGCAGATAAATTTCGTTAAGCACATTTTATTAATCCATAAAACCAACCAAATGTAAGTAAAAGTTAAAAATAGGTCTGAACTCCACATAGAAGGTATTTCACGATATGTTTAATCTCATTATTTATGGGAACAGTTAACAATCTACAGCGCAGAATCATGACAGAATAAAGATTGATAAATAAATCCATTCTGAGAATTTTTTGAATCGCCTTCGTAATTTAATACTGATAAAAATCTATAAAAAATATTTATTTTTCTTTTTTATTAAATACTTATATTTTTTTGTTTATTTTTAACAAAGGTTTTGTAATTTTTTGTATTTTTATGAACTTTAAATGTGCCTTTTCTCTTATTTTTTACATTTATCAATTATATATAAAAAATAATAATTTTACAAAATAAATTGGCAACACTGCAAACGTAATGCATTTTCAAATTTTATTAACTATTTAATTCCTTTTCATAAATAAATTTTAATAAAAATATGTGATACTATTTTTAATCAATGCATGTATTAAAATATAAAAATTAAAATTTTATTGTAATTTTTATTAATGATGTAAAATCGGAATTTTGAAAAATAAGACTTCAACTTGTTTTGTTACCCGTTCTATAGAAAAAAAAAAAAACTTGGGAGAAACAAGAAAAAAATGAACTCAGGTCGTTCCCCCATAAAAATTCAGGTAATTCCCCTATTTTTGTCTGCTTGGTTTCCTATTGAATGGGTAGACGCCATCTTACCCATTTTGAACTGTTAGGGGAATGCTAATTTTTAACTATATGGGGGTTTCCCCATTTCGTAACTCCTTAGGGGTTATAGAAAAAATAATTTGGGTAATACGTTTTCTTCTATAAAAATGTCGAGTACTTAAGTATTTTACAAAATAAAAGTGTTCAAGTTGCATTTTACTAGTTTAGATAGATAATTTAACTATAGTTAGTTTGGCTACAAAAATATAAAATTATACAATATAGTCGATAGTCGTACAAAATAGAAATCATTTACGTTTCTGATTACCTTTTATTGTGATATGTAAATTTGCTTGCTTTTAAAAATATGGTACCTCTTAAAAATAAATTATTACACGCCACTGTAGTTATTTTGTTTGATCGCGAAGCTCCATATATTCATTGACAGATAACTTCGGATTTAATATACAGAGTGATGATACATTAATTTGACAGTAAGAAAAACATTTATTTTGCTTCAAAAATACATTAAGTCCAAATCGTTTCCTTTTTTAGGACTGTTCTGTTGATTTGCCTTGACATGGGCTCAAAATAATTGCATTATTGAGGTACATATTTTCAAAAGTATACACTCGTTGCACTGATTTTATTTTGACTGCAATTTTTGTGTATTTTTTGTACATTTATTTATACAAAATAAAATAATATTAAAAAGAAAAGTGGAATTTTAATTTGTGATTTAAAACCTTTTTTTTTAGCAATGAAAAATTTTGTATTTTGGGTAAATTTTATTTAAAAATAATTTTGCCGAGCATGGGCGTCCGCAGGAAAAAATTCAGGGGGGCAATAAAAAAATCTTTAAATTAATCGATTTTATTGCTTTAAAAATAATGAATTAACAAAATTTGAAAATTCAAAATGAATTTTATTTTAAATTAAGCTTTAATCCACCCTGCGGTGAGATGATAAAATTTTGGACATAGTTGGAATATTTGAGGGATACTTTATGGGAATGGTTTTTCTACTTTATGGTATTTATCTGTTATTTACGCTTGGAGAAGAAAATTCTTCAAATAAAAGTTATTTGTAATGTCATTCTCTATAATTCTTGTCTTATACACAATTTCTCTAAAATGGACCGTATTCGAGATATTTGAGAAAATGTGCAAATTTAGAATATTGAAGATAACTGATGATTTTCATATGCCTACGTAAATACGTAGACAGTTGGTGGCATAGGATGGACATTCAATGGATATTGAGATGTTCAGTAGATATCCAAAGGATTTGGTGTGCTGTCTGGGGAATCTTCAAACAGATCCAAAAATGTTTTAATATCACTACTAGGTGGGCGGTAAATAGTACCCAAGCAAATTTTTGAACCAGAAATTTGAAAGGATATCCAGAACTGTTCAAAATTATTATTTTCTAACTGGATACATATTATTTTCTTAAATTTTAAAGTTTCTCGTATAAAAAAGCAAATACCTCCTCCTCGAAACCTTCTATCCTTCCTGATAAGATTATATCCTGCAATATTAATAAAATGATTGGTTATCTGTGAACTAAGCCAGGTTTCTGATAGAGCCAATATATCATAATTTTCTTTAAGGATTAAATTTCGCACAGTAAACAATCTTCGGCAGTAGTGATCGTATATTTAAATGAGCTAATTTTAACTTTTTAAGTTTCATACTAGCAAAAAATTTGTTAATAGATTTATTCCACTACAGAAAATTAAAAGTGTAAATTGAAATAAAAATGTAAATTGAAACAAAAATAATAAGAAGAGTGCTCAATAGAAATTAAAATGCGACTCTGAAAAAATGAAATATTAAATAGACAGTAGGTAATTCTTAAAAACCAAGAAAATTACAAATACAAATAAAACAAACTATAGTGATTCACTTTTTCCTGCTTCTTAGATTTCGCTCATTTGGAGGGCTGTAACTAATGTTATGCCTTCTTCGTTTTAATACATTTTTTGTAGATTCTATCTTCTTTGGGGACTCTTCCTTCTGTTCTTCTTCTGTTCTCAGTTCTGTTCGTATTCTTGTGGCGATTCGCGATTCAAGCTAAGTGATACGCCCTCTGAAGGAAATTAGTAAAAGGTCCCTATAAGTAGGATGACGTTCAGTGTTGCCAGAAGCAGCAAAATTTCGTTACGTCGTCGGATTTTAGTTTTTGAAGAAATGGATAAGACCTTTTATTTAAGAATCAAAATTTGTGTCTAGTAATATGTAATCATACTATTTATTTAAGGATTTTTTTATAAAATCGATTTATTATATTGATCTTTTTTTTAAATATCAGTTCATTTATTAATTTTAGTTTTAAAATCAGTCAGACAAAATCAGTTCATCATTTGGCAACATTGGCGTTCGTGTTCATTGTTTACATTTTAATTTGTATCAATTACAATTAGAGTTTTTTGTTACTTTTTAGCTTTAAATTTGTTTATTTCTTATAGTATGTGATAGTATTTAAATTAAAAATGAAATCTGCGAAAAAGCCTCCAGCAAATTGCAATTTGTATGGTGTTATTGTCAAAATCAAAACTGGAGTATTCATTATTTTTCAAGTGCAAGTCATAAAATTCTGTTTCTTACGATAAATGGGTATCTACAAATTCACAATATTGAAATTTTGCAAAACGTTGTTTAGAATCAAACTCCAATATGAGTTGTGACGGTTTTATTACCATTTACATGTATACAAAGTACTACACAATTCACTTCATGATATAAGAATAAGGATAGTAAGATTTTTAAAGAAGTTCATCAATAATAAACGTTTGGTACCTGATATGTCCTTTAAACCACATAATAAAACATGTCCACGGCTACATATGTGGATAGGCAAATGGTAATTCTAACATTTTTAGGAAATAGAATTCCTGATAATGTTAAAATTAACTTAGTAAATTTTCCCGTAGATCCCTATTTTTATCCAGTAGTTCAATGCTATAAATGTTTACGTTATGGGCACACTAGTATGCTTTGTAGGGGAAAAGCTAGATGTAAGGTATGCGCTGCTGAAAATTGTAGTGACGATCCCTGTATCAATAATGGAATATTATGCGTTCATTGTAAAAGTGTCGACCACAGTTCGGTATCAAAAAATTGCCCAATTTTTAAAAAAACAAACAAATATTAAAAAAGTAATGGCAACGGAAAATGTTACCTTCAGAGAAGCTGAATTTGTTGTTGATAA